ACTGCCTATTTGCCTTTAGTAAATCAACCCCATTGCATGTAAAGGATACAACCTAGAATATGGGATTCTGTCTCAGCCCTGCTTCATGCTGTCAGCATCCCCACAAAGACTATTGGACCTTCACACTGCTCTGGCATAGCTCTTCTCTCAAGGGGTCAAAGTCATGTTAATGGAAAAGGAAAGGTTTCATGGTTTCTTCTTAAACCTGTTCACTATCTCTAAGATCAACATTCTAGATCTAAAGAGTTCCTCATGGAACCTTCCAGGTCAATTATTGCTTTCTTCCATCTGGGAGACCTTCTGACCTCTATGAACATTAAGGATGTCTACTTGCATGTTTGCCTTTTCCCAGGTCATCCATGCTTCCTATATTTTGCACTGGGCAAAGAACCTTACCAGTTTGCTGCCATTCCTTTGGGCCTGTTCACCACACCTCAGGTCTTCACCAAGGTGCTAGCCCCTGTTCCTTCTCTTCAACTTGATTACTGTTGGCTAATGTTCAACAAATTGTGCAGACCCTGCAGACATTCAGGTAGATCCTAAAATTCCACAATTTCAGGAGTTTTAGGATCTACCTTAATGTCTGCAGGGCACTGACCATAAATCAGTGCCAGAACATCTGAATCCTTGAAATATCTTGGCTTCATTCTGAATATATCTCCATCCAAGTCTTCCCTCTCCTAGACAAACTCCAGACTCTCGGCTCCCATCATGGGACATTACATTCCAGAAGCCAACCAACCCTCTGCTTTTGCATTGTCTTGGTATCATATGTGCTATTCAAGCCTATCTCTCAGCACCCTTTCAGCAGTCTGACTCATTGTTTGTCATTGAATAATGCAACATGTAACCTCTACGCCAAGATGCTGGAAATAGCATTTGATATTGGTCACTTTATAATAATCAGTGTTCTCAGAAAATAAGACAGAAACTTCTTAGACCTTATGGACAGATGGTTTGAGACAAAAATCTCTGTAGCATAAAATCTCAGTGCTTTCCACTCCAGGGGATCCATTTCCTAATCCAAGTAAACGCCATACATCCCAGCACCCCTGAAACCTCATCTGACATTCTTCACCAAACAGGCTTCATCAAATGCCTCTAATGAGTCTGATTGTTTTTAAATTTTGGATATATTTTGATAAAGAAGTCTGTACTATAAGAAGTTTCTATCTTATTTTCTGAGGAGTCTGACCAATGTTAAATGCTATATACTATTTGCAATATTTTGGAGTGGAAGCTACATGTTGCAGAGATCATACATCTGAGACTTTGCTGTGAGGATTCCCTGGTGGCTGGATCAAAATATTCAAGCACGTTATAACTTACCTGTTGTAGTTGGTGATGTGTTTGAGGTAAGTAGTATTCTATGTGGTGGTGGTGGTTGTTTATCTAAGAGCAGTGATATGCTGAAAGAATAAGTGGTGGAAATACTAATATATCAGAATAATATCATAATCATTTTGGATTCTTTTTTAGTATGCAGCTTTTGGTGATTTATTTTGTATACTTAATATTGTATATTTAAAGATAAACTTAACCCATAACAACTTGATAAAAAATAAAGCTCTTTAGCAAGAAACATATATTCCACATTAATAATTATGCTACCAAAATCAGTATGTGCTGTAAATTGCCTCCAGCATTGTTTATGTTTCTTCTTGCTGGAGGCTGCCAGTTTTGCCCAGAGCCTCAGCCTCTAGTGACTCTGATTTTCGGCATAGTGCCAAAAAATAGAGCAACTGAGCATGAGCAGAGCAGGGCGAGACAGTATATTATGGAATTTGAAATAGTATAGGCACTTATTTTTAATGTTTTACATAGCTATACCTGCAAAAGAGGCCAGACTGAAGTGATCAAGCAGAACCTAATTTTCTGACTAAAGTTCAACTTTAAATAAATTGTTTAGTCACAGCTGGTCTAATATTTCACCTAATACAATGAAACATGTAATGTAATGAGGTACAGATTTATGTTTTATAGCTCAATTTAAGATTTGTAAATCTGCACATGACTGTTAAAATGTTACATGGTGACATGAAAAGGTTGCAATATCATGCAGCAGCCAAATTTTACCAGTACTGGGGAACATGTTCATATTTCATCTGACACAGTCTGGTATTGTGACATGACTATTCAGATATTATGGTACTCTATGAGTAACATTACAATTGGCTGGACAGACTTGTGTCTACATAGAGGGACTCTAATCATCTTTGTTTATACTATATAGTATACAGTACATTCTTTCTGCACACATGAGGATATTTGACTGCTGATGTTATCTGTTGACTTTTATTTTGATATGTGCATAAATACGCTGATCTAGAAATCATTTTACATGTGCTGACTTTTCATAGCTGCATGTTGGAGACATCGGAGATGTAATAAAAGCTTCTTTCCTGTCCACGGCTTTGAGCTCTGAGAGGAGACTTCAGCTGCAGAAGGTATATGTCATGTTAATTGATTGTGATTACACCATAGACATGCACTGGCTTTCAGTCGGTAATTTTCTAAAGAACCATGTGTTAAACTTGCATGCATTGCACTGAACTAATGCCCTCTGAATCATCTTATGAGTAATACATAGCAAATGAGCTCTAACTATGCACAATATGTTCTTTTATATCTTTCTATCATGTACTATTCATACCAAATAACAAAGTGCTGAGAAACTAACCTTTTAATGGACAGAGGACTCTTTAACAATTACCAATAACTACTGTATTTTCATCACAATGTCATTGCACCGCAGATTGATGAAAATGTTAAGGGGCATTTTTCTTGGTTAGGAAATTGCATGGCTGCCTCATGTAGCACACATTCGATTGGCCAGGAGTACTAAAACCTCCCACTGTGTCAACTTGAAATATTTAATACCGATACTGTCAAATATTGTTTTATACAATATTATCTCATGGAAGGCCACCAAAATGTTTAGTAGATCCTGTAGCATTAAATCATGTGATAATTTCCTATGTTTCTCTAGAATTCCATCAGTGATAGCTTTGCTCCTACAGTCTCAAGTTTGAACTCCAGCCACGGAAATTACATAGAGGTCCCACTTTCTCTTCAGGATTTTTTCCTGTTGGGATTTTTATTTATTGTATATTATAGAGAATTGGTTGGAAGGATGGGAATGCCTCCTTTTTTGAAAAGGGCATGAAAGTCTAACATTGGCAGGATCAGAGTCAGAATCTATAGTTGCTTCGTGCTGCTGAAAGCCTCAAGAGATATCAGAACTTAGCCCAAGGATCTTCACTTGTAAACTTCACTTATTAAAGTGTTACCTTAATAAATAACCTTGATAAATACTAAAATAGAAAGGTAGCAGCTTACTTTATTTACATCAGCAGTTTTTCTGGTCTCCTTTTTGTGCAGTGTTTCGGGCATAATTAACCTTTTACAGTTTGTTGTGTCGAGCTTCCATTTATAGGATGGCTCCTTTATTTGCAGGGTCTCCCTGACATGTTCTCTCTTAAACAGGTATGGATTTACACACGCCACTTAGTATGGGAGAAGGGGGGGTGACAGCATTCTGGCTGCTTGCTCTGTAATGCTGTGATTATCCAAAGCATTTGCAGTGATCTACCAGACCTGTTGTCAGGAATGGACTTGCCAGTAATGGTGGGACTCACCTGCCTTGTGGGCTGCAGTACCAGGGCTGGCCAGCGGGTGCTCTCAGCAATCAGAGACTCAACCCTGCAGTCAGCCAAACACCTGAAGCTGATTACGGAGGTGTAATTAAGGGATGGCCAGACCTGCAGTCTGGGCCTTGGTGTGTGTTTTTCCATGGGCCCCTGTATCTTGTTACCTGCATTCCTGTTCCTGTTCCTGCCTGACTGATTTGTTGCCGACCCTGCCTGATCCAGACCTCTGCTGACTTCTCCTGTTTGATCCCTGGCTTGTGACCCCGACCATTCTCTGCCTGACCCCCTGTACCTACCTGCCCGTTAGTTGCTGTACCCGGCTCGTGACCTGACTACTCTCTGCCTGCTCCTCCTGTTCCTACCTGCCCGATTGTTATTGACCCGGCCTGCCTGACTACGCTTGCATTGTATGTATTGTTATCTGTGGGTGGTTTGGTTCGTTTGCACTTTGTTATGTTTTAGTATTGCACTGCATTTGTATTGTTAGTATTAATAAATTATATTGTTTATAACATATCTGAAGCCTGCGTTTCCCTGTGTCAGTTCACATACCTCTGGTCATGCCCGGAGCCCTGACATTACACCAAGGCCAATCCTGACCAGAAGTGGCTGCACAGAGAAGCCCTCTTGGCTTGTTGCTGGGAAAGATGGATCTTGATGAGGTTGTGTATTTGTCGATGTTGGTTTTTGATGACAGAGAATATGCTTATCAGACTCTGAGGGAGTATACCCGGGATCAACTGCTAGAATGTATACGGATCACTCATGTTCTAGTAGATCAAGGCACAGAGTTCTCTGAGGTGCAACCTTTGATTCAGGTGTGTGTAGAGTTGGCTTCATCTGGTACCCCTGAAAGCAGGAATGACTTTTTGCCACCATTTAGTGCAGACCAGGTAGAGTCCCTGGTATGGTTATTAGAGGATGATGTGGATTGCTTCTTGGAGCATTATGCTGCATGTTCACCACAGGTATTAAGGGATTGTGTAAACGCAGTGCAGTCTTTGACCAGACAGGCTTTGTGTAAGCTCAGCTTTGTTCAACCCATACTGCAGACATGGTCAGACTTGTTGCACCCAGCCTCAGTCAGCTTGCAACGTCGTTCCTCTGCTCAAGGCACTCTTCCTGCATCCCCGACAGCACCCCCAGTGACGGCCCAGTATACTCTGCTAACTACCACATACCAGTCCCCTGCTCCCACTCGCTGCACCTATCCTTTCTTTGGCCCTGTGGAGAGGTCCTCTGTGGCGGCTGCTCCCTCCTCTGTTCCATCTTCCAGCTCTTCTCTGTCCTCAGCTGCTCCATTCGTTTGCAGACCTGCGTTTACTTGCAGTGCTCCAGTAGTTAAAAATTCTTTCCAACCAGTACCATCCTGCCAGTATCCAAACCGGTGAGCCTGCCGTCTGAGAACCTTCCTTCCGTGGTTCAGCCTGGTGCCTCGGCACCCGCACTTCAGCCTGATGTCTCTACCCAGCCTGATGTCTGTACCCAGCCTGATGAACTGATCCAGCCTGATGATCCTATCACGCCTGATGACCCAGTGCCCGCTGTCATACCTGGTGACCCGATGCCCGCTGTCGAGCCAGACGATCCAATGTCTGACCCAGTGCCCGCGGTCATGCCTGGTGACTCGGAACCCACTGTCGTGCCTGGTGACTCGGTGCCCACTGCCTTGCCAGATGACGCGGTGCCCGCTGGCGAGCCAAATGACCTGATGCCTGGTGACCCGATGCCCGCTGTCGTGCCTGATGACCCGGTGCCTGCCGCTCCGCCTGAGGGCCCGGCGCCTGCCGCCCTGCCTGGGGGCCCGGCGCCCCGCGCTCTGCCTGGGGGCCCGGTGCCCGCCGACCCGCCTGGGGGCCCTGTGCCCGCCGCTCCTCCTGGGGGCCCGGTGCTCGCCGCTCCTCCTGGGGGCCCGGTGCTCGCCGCTCCGCCTGGGGGCCTGGTGCTCGCCGCTCCGCCTGGGGGCCTGATGCCCGCCGCTCCGCCTGGGGGCCCGATGCCCGTCGCTCCGCCTGGGAGCCCGATGCCCGTCGCTCCGCCTGGGAGCCCGATGCCCGCCGCTCCGCCTGGGGGCCCAATGCCCGTCGCTCCGCCTGGGGGCCCGGTGCCTGCTGCCCCGCCTGGTGGCCCGGTGCCTGCTGCCCCACCTGGTGGCCCGGTGCCTGCTGCCCCGCCTGGTGGCCCGATGCCTGCTGCTCCGCCTGGTGATCCGGTGCCTGCTGCTCCGCCTGGTGATCTGGTGTCCAGCCCGATGTGCCTCTGCCCGGTGTCCACCCCGATGTGCCTCTGCCCGGAGTCCAGCCTGATGTGCCTCTGCCCGGAGTCCAGCTCGATGTGCCTCTGCCCGGAGTCCAGCTCGATGTGCCTCTGCCCGGAGTCCAGCTCGATGTGCCACTGCCCGAAGTCCAGCTCGATGTGCCTCTGCCCGGAGTCCAGCCCGATGTGCCTCTGCCCGGAGTCCAGCCCGATGTGCCTCTGCCCGGAGTCCAGCCCGATGTGCCTCTGCCCGGAGTCCAGCCCGATGTGCCGCTGCCCGGAGTCCAGCCCGATGTGCCGCTGCCCGGAGTCCAGCCCGATGTGCCGCTGCCCGGAGTCCAGCCCGATGTGCCGCTGCCCGTAGTCCTGCCCGATGTGCCGCTGCCCGTAGTCCTGCCCGATGTGCCAGTCTTTGATATCCCACCAGTTACCAGACCCGGACAGTGGAACATTTTGCCCAGCTAGGACTGTTTGGAGCGTCCTGAGGCCGCACCTTGAGGGGGGCGGTACTGTAAGGAATGGACTTGCCAGTAATGGTGGGACTCACCTGCCTTGTGGGCTGCAGTACCAGGGCTGGCCAGCAGGTGCTCTCAGCAATCAGAGACTCAACCCTGCAGTCAGCCAAACATCTGAAGCTGATTACGGAGGTGTATTTAAGGGATGGCCAGACCTGCAGTCTGGGCCTTGGTGTGTGTTTTTCCATGGGCCCCTGTATCTTGTTACCTGCATTCCTGTTCCTGTTCCTGCCTGACTGATTTTTTGCCGACCCTGCCTGATCCGGACCTCTGCTGATTTCTCCTGTTTGATCCCTGGCTTGTGACCCCGACCATTCTCTGCCTGACCCCCTGTACCTACCTGCCCGTTAGTTGCTGTACCCGGCTCGTGACCTGACTACTCTCTGCCTGCTCCTCCTGTTCCTACCTGCCCGATTGTTATTGACCCGGCCTGCCTGACTACGCTTGCATTGTATGTATTGTTATCTGTGGGTGGTTTGGTTCGTTTGCACTGTGTTATGTTTTAGTATTGCACTGCGTTTTGTATTGTTAGTATTAATAAATTTATATTGTTTATAACATATCTGAAGCCTGCGTTTCCCTGCGTCAGTTCACATACCTCTGGTCATACCCGGAGCCCTGACACCTGTGCTCATACTAGTGGTCTACAGTACTACACATGCGTCACCTGAACACAAACAAGAGAGCTAGAGGCCCGTACTGTACATGCATTAGTCCGTACACAAGAAGTCATGATCATGGTAAATGAAGTCCTGAAGATTTAGATTTCTGATCTACCGTATTTTTCGCCGTATAAGACGCACCTGACCATAAGACGCACCTAGGTTTTAGAGGCAGAAAACAGGAAAAAAAAAATCTGAACTAATGGACTGCAGACACAGTACAGGAGATGACCAGAGACTGCGGACAGCACAGGGATGACCAGAGACTGCGGACAGCACAGGGATGACCAGAGACTGCGGACAGCACAGGGATGACCAGAGACTGCGGACATAGTACAGGAGATGACCAGAGACTGCGGACAGCACAGGGATGACCAGAGACTGCGGACAGCACAGGGATGACCAGAGACTGCGGACAGCACAGGGATGACCAGAGACTGCGGACAGTACAGATGACTGCTGACCTTTGGGGAGGTGGGGAGCGCGTACCTGAATTTGACAGGTACCCGCTCTTACTTCTGCTGAGTTTTTGTTTGATCTTACCTGTTCCTCGATCCAGCCGCGCGCTGTCTTCCCGGCTTCTGTAATGGCGCTCGGCATGACAGCCGGGTGCCCAGTGCGCATGAGCGAGAAGCACTTGCGCTTTGTGATTGGTCCGGCGGCTTCTGGGATCTGTCATGTGTCCCAGGTACCGCCTTACCATTCACAAAAAGCACCGCTTCTTGCGCATGCGCACTTGGCACCCGGCTGTCATCACACTACAGAAGCCGGGAAGACAGCACGCTGCTGGATAGAGAAACAGGTAAGGTCCCGCTGCAGAGCTGAGCGGCTGGCCCAGTATTTTGACACAGCCACGGTGGAAATACCGGACCGGCCGCTCCATATTCGCCCCATAAGACGCACTGACATTTTCCCCCCAGTTTTGGGGAAGAAAAAGTGCGTCTTATACGGCGAAAAATACGGTAAATGCACAGAGCCATGCTTCCTGAGCGGAAGTTTGGAGAAGCACCAAGCAGTGGGACACAGGAAAGGGAAACTCACTGTGGGTTTATTGCCACTGGAGCTTAGAGCTGAAATGTTACCTTTGAAAAGACTTTCTAGTTAGGGTGAGCTCCACATTAAGTACATTCAGCACAGAAAATGTTAAATGAGCATGTAGGATTGGCTGATTTCCCCATGTGTGGGTTTTTTGTTATTTATTATTAAGTACTTCCACTGAATCAAATGCAGCTGAGTAATACAATGGAACAGCAGGCATGTATGATACATATGTGTTTTTAATACCTGCTTAGTAGATTTAAGGAATATGTAAACCCTCACCTTGTAAAACAACCCATTCAGTTTAAAATAGAATAATTAAAAGAAAGGCAAAACATTTATGTATGTATATAAAAAACATTATAAATACTTTTTTCCCTTTTTTACAAGTGATCATATAATCTCTGTTCTCGGCTGCATAGAGAGGTAAGGGAGGAAAAACTGCAGCACACTGATCTTTCCAGCGAATGGCTGTGCAGGAGGCAGATGCCTGATCATTTGATGAGAGCACGCTAAGTTCGAAGCACAGTTAGAGAACTGATCATGCTGTAATCTACTGTCTAGCATGGTCAGTTTTTATTATGAATGCAGAGAGACTGGCAGAAACACCAGGTATTTCACACAAAGGAAGCAATACAAAGAGGACAGGATACTGTTATTATACATGTACATGGTACAACAGCACATATCAGGAATATGAAATGTTGGGTTTACATATTCTGTAAAGTAGTTGTAAAGGTTGTTTAGCTTAATGTATTCTCTCTCCGCCGCTGCTACTCCAGCCCTCCTTATACTTACCTGAGCCCAATGTCAATCCAGCAATCTGCACAAGCACAGCAGCTCTCTTGGCTCTCTCCCTCCTCATTGGCTGAGACACAGCAGCAGAAGCCATTGACTCCAGCTGCTTTTAATCACAGCCAGTGAGGAGGGAGTGGGTGACGCTGCCGAGCCATGCTCTATGTGTCAATGGACACACAGAGCCAGCTTGGGGACAAGCCTGCACGAGAGCTTCCATAGCAAGTGGCTTGCTATGGGGGCACACAGCAGAGTGGGGTAGGTGGGGATCAGGGATTGGGGCTCCTCTGGTAAGTTTAACATGTTTGTTATTAAAAAATAAAGTTCAGCCACTTTAATAATAAATAAATTGTCAATATTTTTCTTTGAAAACCAATTTTTTATATTCATTTTAAAAAGTTCCAAAAATTTGCATACAGATAAGACTATCTAAAGCATATAACCTTCACTTTTGGATCCCATTTGGAAGAATTCTGGAAAAAAAGTCCTTTCTTAAGTAATATAAAATTACATTTGTTGAAAACATGCCTTTCATTGGGGGATTCTCCTCAGTTCTTCCTCCGGTGACAGGAAGTCACCATTATAGGAACAGCAATACAAACATGGCAGAAATTTTAACCTACCCTCCCTCTATCAAAAACTTTTTAGCATTGAACTTTCTTTAAGACAGACCTCTAATGTCAGTAGATGTATTTAGTTCATATGTGGTTTAAAGTGGACCTTGCCGTATAATGCAAGGTGCACTCAAATTACATGGACGCCCACCCCTTTACAAATCACCTATTATTAGTAGGTGTAAACTGTATCTTTAAAACAATAAGTTAGAATTATATGTACACTCATCTTCAGTATCATTGGGCTTAACATCACTGTCCTTCCATGCAAGGTTCCTGGGAAATAAAAAACAGGTGAAATCTTGGGAGAAGACACTCTTGTCAATTGCAAGATCATCTTTTCCCAAAATTTTGGCTGTTTTGCATTCTCAAATATCCAGTCAGAAGGAGTGTGTTATATCCTTGTCTAGACCTCGCAGGTGGAAGATGGGGGTAACTTAAGTATAATGTTTTCCTTACAGATACATTTTATACTTATCCATACTGAGTGATTTGTGGAGGGAGAGTGGCCTGGGTAGTGTAAGCGGGTATAAAAAGAGTGGAGTTTCCTATAGTTTATTACATTCTTTTAGCACTTAGTATTGAAAATAAAGAGCTTGGCCTGATGATAATTCAGCAAGGTTTGTTTATGCTTTGTAGAATCCCTACACTGTATGAAAACCATCTAACAGCAGTTTATATTATAATAAAAAACATTTAGCAGCTATATCTAGAGCTGTATAAATTGATCTAATGCCTAAAATATTATTGGCTTCCTGAGTAATTGACTTCCTGCATACCGTTCCCACTTGTCAACTTGTTTCATTATTAAAGAAGATTCTTCTCCAAGATTTTCTGTGGCCTCGTTTTAAGTGTGAAATGAAATTGCTCCTATTTTTTTACAGATCAAGATGCCTT